GCCGCACAAGTGAACAGAGGGCATGGGACTATTGGCAAACATTTATTTTGGCTCTAGTGGAGCCACTCTCCTGATCAAAGCAGTTGGAGTTTGAACCTCTTTTAAGTTGTTCCCTGCCTGGTCTGGGAGTGCCCTGCTCTTGCATTGATGGCATCAGTAGCCTCTGTGCAGCTGAGTGGAAGAAGGAAGGTATCAGTAGGGAGAAGGAAGTATGCGTGAGGCTGCTTTTCTGCAGTGTGAGACAACAGTAGCTTCTTTTAGCTTTGCCAGCTGCTGCCTGGTTTAGGAAAACAACCTAAGGCTTATTGTATAACTAGATAGTACAGGCATTATCACAGGGCCAGCAGGGAATGCTTTACCATCTTGCAGGCTCATGCCTGGCAGACTGAGTAGCTCTGCAACTCTTATCAATGAAATACCCCGCTGGCAGAAATCCCCTTGAGCCTCAGGCTGGGTGGGCCCTTTGGGAGCCTCTTCTCTGTCTGATCTCTTTGTTCAGGGTTCCCCTCTTCTTCCCCGACTAGAAATGCTTGAATCCCTCTTGGCAATTAGTCTCCTGGCTGAAATGAACTGCTCCTCTCTGATCCTTTCGGGCTCCATGGTTGGTGTCTGGCAGGGGGGCTCACTTGGTGAATGTGGTGTTCTCACGCGGTCTCACTGGCGGGGGAAATACCTAAAGAGCTTCTGGGAGGAGGTAACATGGGCAAGGAATGCAGCGGTGCTATGGAGAGAGGCACAAGGAGGAGAAAGTTTTAAGGCCTCATGAGCAGGATCTTTTTATGCAAACATCTTGCATCTCACTTCATATATTAAAAGTAGTATAAGGGCAATTTTATTTCAGACTTTCTTTCCATGGTTTCTTTTTTTACCATTTTTGTCCTTTCTGTACTCTGTTGGGGAGATTGTTGTAGACACCAGCGTGTTTGAGTTCAGAGCCAGTTTAAGGCCAGCTCCTAATGTGTTTATGCTAGACAGGCCTGAGAGACAAGTGGGGAGCTGGGCTTGGATGTACCTGCTAATATTATGGCTCTCCTCACCGGGTCAGGGCAGTGCTGAAACACCACAGAGTGTCCCTGCCTTGAAGGAGAGGCCAGGCGGAGCAGCAAAGGAAGAGAGCAGACAGCAGGAAGTTAACCTTGTGGGTGTTGTCTGCAGACGATTGCTTCAGAATGTTTTTTTACAATTCTTATTTTTTATTATCCAGCCAGAGTACTTGTTTTTGGGGCCCTTCCTGGAGGTGTGGGTATTGAAGATAAGCTGGAGCAATCTGGAAGGCTGGCAGAGCAATCCAAGCAAGACTTTCCCCTTGCTGTCTCAGGGGACTGTATGTGACTTTCTGTCCTCATATCTGCCATGGCCAGCTCTGAGGTCCAGGAAGGCTTTCCTCTTCTAGGCTGGTTGAACATTGTGGCCTGTGTCATGTTAGCCTGAGAGCTCTCCTCCAGGGGAGCCCCATCCTACTGCTGCACAGGAATGAGGGTCTCTGCAATGTACAGCCATGTAGTGAGGCTGGGTGGGCAAGAGCTATGTTTGTGGGTGGACTTTCATGGTGATCTGGGGATGAGCTGGTGTAAAGGAGTGGTGGGAGCTCTGTTCATGTCTGCCAATCTTGGACTTTGCCTGCTGAGATACAGAAGTCTCTGACTAGGCTGTGCATGACTTGGTAGAAACATTGTAGTCCCTGTTTTATCTCAGCTTTAACTGATTATTGAGTGTATTCGTAGCACACTGATCATTGTGTTTGCCTGAGCCCTGTGGGAACTCCTGGGGACCAGACCAGACTCCCATCCCATCTGTCTCACTGAGGCATTTGTTAGTCCTGGGAAGGTTAGTTCAGAATAATCCCTGAAAGAGACTGGGGTCTATAGGCAGATCCTCCATCATACTCCATTGCATGAGAGCTGAGGGTAAAGATAGCTTCGTGCTTTACCTTGCCAGGGTCCTCTGGGACAAAAACTTGATTTTGGTTGGAATAACACCCTTTAGGTGTCCTGTTTCCCTCACTCCCCTTTCTCATGCTGCAGAGCACTATCAAAAGAATAAATGGAGCCACTCTGGGATTATTTTAGGGCTACAGTGGAGGGTATAGAAGATGGTGTGTGAGAAATTTAAAAAATGGATCTTTATGGAAAGAGTAGCAACTTTCAACATAACAGAAGCAACAGCATAAAGATATTTCCAATTCGGGCAATCTTGCCAGCAAGGGCTGAGAGCCCAGAATCGGGCTGTGGGGTTCACTTGTGCCTCATCTCCCCAACTTCAAGGAGAGCTGGCTGAAAAGGTGCAGATCCTTGTTTTGGCAAAACCCAACTGCCTCTTTGCTCAGGCTGCAAATCCCTGGAGGATATTGTTCTCACCCTTGTGCAGCTGAGCTATGTTCAGAGCCTGGATGTTGCTCCAGTGCCCTTACTAAGCTTTTTGAGGCTATTTCAGAAAGACGTCTGCAGTAGCTACCAAATGTATTTGAATTCTGGTGTGATAGTGTGAGTACACCACAGACCTTCTGGGACAGCAAGGGATTTGTTAGCTGTGCTGGGATCAGTGAAGCTGAGCCCTGATTTTGTTGCTTGACCATGCACAATGGTGTATGATTAGAAACAGGAATTCACGGAAGAAACAGATGCTTCTTAGGATGAAGGGGCAGAACCCTTTTTAATTTAGAGAGCAGCTGAGGCCTTGAGCTGCTAAGCCCTGAATGATTTCTAGACAAGAAAGCTCCATGGCCCTGTGGTATGGCAAACATACATTTCTCCTGCTATGGAAAAAGCTCCAGTTAAAGCCTTGGAGCGTGGGTTTAAGATTTAGTCTTGGTTCTTCAGTGTAATTCCAGGAGAAAAAGGGCGAGCAATTTTTGTGATAGGAAGCTAAACGTTGTTCAGCTGGTGCTGGGAGTGAGGCTCTGCAATGTCTGTGTGAGCTGGGTGGTGAAGGGTCAGTGATGGAAGATCTCAAGGGCCAGAAGTCTGATGCTTTAGAGATTAAATGCCTGCTTTTTGGGCAGCTGAGACCTACAGCAGCTTCTGCTATAGATGCTCTAGGGGAGCCCCTGCACCATGTGGAGGTGAAGGCTGGCTTGTTTGCTGTGGTGGGCCTGGAGTCCCTTCCAGGTGTGCCCCAGGGTGTAATGCGCCTGGCAAATTTAGCTAAGAGCATCTTGGCTATTATGGGATCCATTTTAAGTAGAAGTGCTTAAACTAGTGCTGGGTTTGTTTTTCATCTGTTATCAGATGAAAAGTCTTGGTGGAAGGAATTTGGGTTTTAGTCATGCTTTTGTTGTGTGGTTGTGGTGGAATGGAGCTGAGCAAGTGGACTCTTGTGTGAGTGCTGCTGCTGAATGCAGTTTTGTTAGCTTCTCCTTAAGGCATGGCTCTTCTGATGTCTTATGGGAATCATGGCGAGAGAGGTGAATCTAAAGAGCTACTGATGTGAGAATTAAAAACTGAGCTTGTGTCTGTATTGTGATACTCTTTTATTAGTCATGAAGACCTAAAACACAGCAATGGTGGTGACTTGGATGAACTGCTTCCAAGACAGCATCAGCACTTTGAAGCTGAACCCTGATCTGAGGAGTAGTGGCCAAAGCTGTGATGAACGCCCTTGGCCGCCTTTCTTCTCTTCCCCCCCCAAACTGGGGTGTAACAGAAATGGGCTGAAACAACAGTGTGTTTGTTAAATATGCTCTATCCCATTTTGTGGTGCTTGCTGGTTCATGTTCAACAGTGGTAAGCCTCCCTAATGTGAGTCAGGCCTCAAAGACTAGCTCACCTGTGCTGGCATGGCAGGTGAGAATTTCGCTGCACAGGAGGGAAGCAAGGCACCATCCCTTGCCGCTAGCTGTTGGCTGCTCTGCAGTGTTGGTCATCTGTGCAGCAGGGATGGTCTTGCTGCTCAGGAATTTGTTTAAGCCACAGCATGTGGGTGTGTAGGATGGAGGCCATGTGTCAGAGCTCCTGTGTGGCCAGCTGTGAGCCACAGCTGCCCTAGCTGTACATGCTGAACCTCTCCAAGATGAGGCATGCAGCCCAGTGCTTGCTACCATCCTTCACAAGCCTGTGCTTAGCTCCAGGACCCTCCTGTGGCTCTGATTCCTGCCCATGCCTTCCCAAATGGGAACTCATCCCTACTCCTGATTCTTCCCCTACACTTCAAGTGTTCCAAAGAGGCCTCCACTCTCTCCAACCCAAGATCCTAATCCCGTGTGCTGTCCTGTGCTTGGTTCTCTATCTGCCTACCCATCAGCTATGCCAGCTGCAAAGGCTCCTGGAATGAGAGGGTTTGGGGAATGTGCTGCACCTGGGAGTGTAATTGTGTTTACTTCTCCTGGGGCTTCATGCTCAAAGCAAGAAATGGTTTGTCCTCTGCTAACATAAAATGTGTGTCAACATGACTGATATTTCATATTAAAAGAAAAAGTGCTCATCTAACTTGTTTCCCTTGATTTCCCCCCCCCCCCCTTTAAGCTTTGGGTAGATCTTAGAATCATGAGGAGAAAATGAGAAAAAAGTATTCTCTCATTATGAATTTATTGAGAAGCAAGAAAAGCACATAGCTTAAGTACAGAACAATTCACATATCACTTAAGACATAAAAGAACAAAAAAATCCAGGTGGACTCCAGAAGACTCAAGTGATATGAATCCAGTGACAGGACATGGATCACTGGAAAAAAGGCACGTTCATCCTATTTTGTTTTTGTTCTGCGGTTATAACAAAATCTATTCTAGTGGAGGATCCAGACAGGCCCCAGGGAAGATTGAAAATGTTGACTGCTGTAACTGCATAATATGTGATACATATGAAAGTCATCTTTAACCTGTGTTAGAAATGGATACCTCCACAACTTACTGAAAAAAAAAAAAAAGTTTAGGCTCTAGCCTGTTCTGCCTCATGCTATTTTCATCCTAAGATGAGAATGTTGGTATCAGATACTTTCTACTTGCAGCTGTATATATTAGAAGCAAAAAGTGGGCTACAGCGTGCATTTAGAGATAAAATTACCACTAGAGGGTCTAGTGACTTCTTGAAAATAGTGAATTATAGAGAGGAATAGCATCAGAACCACCATGTGGGGGTTATTTCTTTCAGAATCACTGTAGCATGCAAACAGCTCACTTGGCTTCAATAACTTTGGTAGTCTGTAGCTTTCATGAAATTGGTTTGTTGCTAATAATAGTCTAAATAATTTTTCACAGTAAAATCAGCACAAGCAACAGTGGCACGATCTTCATTAGTCAGCTTTGCTGAAATAGTGTAATCTCCCTGTATGAGACAAACACAAAGCAAGAGATTAGTCCACCAGTAGTATAGAACTACTTCTGTTTCTGTGAAGGACCCCTCTTCCTAGAAACAGAGTAACACTTTTCCCATCAAGTTCCTCCAAAACCTTTCATGTCCAAATATTTCAGAATTGGTAGAGGACTTGCCCATGTTTTTTGCCAAAATAATCTCATCAGGGATATCAATGCTGACAGCACAAATTCAAAATTAAAACAACACAAGGGGAACAAAATATTTTGATGCAGAAAAATTCCTTTCAAATCTGTATAACTTCTTATGTTTCTTATGAGCAAGCACAGTATGGCCTGTGCTGTTTAGTAACTGGAAGGGGAAGAGGTGCTCAGTTGTCTGGCACTTCTCTTCCTTGGATCTTGTTCAGTGTGTACACTGTTATTGATACGAATTTTTATAAAAAAAATAGGATCCTGGGGATTTTTGTGTATAGGTGACTTGATCTGTGATGAATTCCTATATAATAAAACAAGAGGTAGTTTAATTTCAAATTATGTAGTTAAAACTACTAATAATTCAGGCTTTGGGGAGAACTTGTATCATTGCTGCGCAAAAAATCTCAACCTTAAAGAAGCCATGCCTTTTTGTATTGGTCAAAACTGCTCTCTCCAGACACTTGGAGAAGGAGAAGCACTGGGCAGAGAAGATGACAATGCTCATTTAACAGATTTTGACAAAGAGGTGAATTAGATTTCCTTCACTCTAGATTGCTGGTGCTGCAGTATTTCTTTCTTTTTTTTTTTTCTGGAGTATGGAGGGGAGCAAAACCTGGGGTAGGAGAGCTTGGCAGAAGTGGCCTCCTGGCTTGGAACCATAGAAAGCTCTTGCCCTGCTCAGGGCACTTCTGGTTGTGGACTACGAGGAGGCACAGCTAGAATGAGTCAGGCTTCTTGGTATTTGCCTTTTACCATGGGATTTCTAAAGTAATAACTGGCCTGTGTCCTCACAGAGAGCTTCAAGCTAAGTGTAACATCCAAATTTAGAGAAAGGCCCAATGGCAACATACTCATGAGAATACGGCCTTGTAATCACTGTGTGGACTGTGCAAATGTCCTTTGGGCTGCTCAGATGAGTCTGTTCTTTGTAATGAGCAGAAGAAAATTGCTGCATGGAATAACTCCTTATTGCTGGCATGGAAGGATGATGTTATTTGCCCAACGGATTAATTAACAAAAAGGCTTCCTATTCCCTTTCTTACAAGCATGTTAATTCTCCAAAAGCTTATAGTTTCATTCATTGAAGGGAGTTTATAACAACTCATTTCCATTGCTCATTAATGATTAGATTTTTTTCCTTCCTCCAGAATAATTTTTTGCTCATGGGTAAAAATTGTTATTAAAAGAGGATTGTGAACAATAGAATTTCTGGCTCCAAATACAGCTAGTTTGCCCAGAACTGGAGTTTTACTGTTCTGTGTGGGCATTTCTAGGGCTTCCTCTTGGTCTAAAGACCTATTACTCTGTTTGTCTAGAGTGTTTACTACAGAAGTGTCCTCAGTATGTTGGTAAAGCTGTTTCTGGAGCAGGATGCTGACTGATATGAGCTTGGGCACTACAGTGTGAGACAACAAAAGGCATTGCTAAACACAGCATCTCTAGGCACAGCTTGCTTCCCTAAAGGCTAGTAATGGTAGGATAACAGTCTGCATAAGGGGGCCCAGCTCCCTGTGTGAATGCCTTGGAAAATGAAGGTTGTGGTTGCTGCTATCACCAAGGGAAGATTGAGATGTATGAGATGGTAGCTGTAATGGAGGCTCAATCCTCCCAAAATTTAGCTATCCTTGTTATCACCTCTGCAGGTCTTGGCAAGCCTGGCTCTCTGGGACTCATGTCCTTGTTCTGTATCCCTGTTCTGATCCTGTCGTCTTTTCCTGCACCTGGACCAATCCAGTGCTCAGCAACCTCAGACCTCATCTTTGAGGCTGTGACATAGGTTTTATGTCTGCTGCTGAAGAACTGAGAGCTCATGCTGTGCTTCTCTATGTGAGTAAACCTAAGGAGTGTTTGACTGACCACCGGAACTGTGTGCTTCTGCAGTGGTGACCTTTCCTCACCACATTCTCAAACAGATGCCTTGATGATCCAGATATTGCCTTCTCCCTTTCAATCCAGTCTCTTAATGTATGTGGCTAAAAATCCTTTGTTATTTACTGGTCAAATATAGCTTCATGTTGTGCCCAGTTAAGAGACACTGTGGCATGTTCAGCATTTGGGACCTATCTTGCTTTTCAATGTGATTTCGTTGACCTTTAAGAAGGAGACTTAGCTGAGTGTGGAGAAGTCAGCTTGTAAAGAGCATTTGTAATGGGTGACCAGGAAATTCAGAGCAGTGCCTAGAGTCCTGCCTGTTTTCTCACCTTTCTAAGAAGTTACTTTCTTATTTTAAGGCTCCATAAGTCCAGAAAAAGTGTTCTTGGCACAGTAACTTGTACTTTCAATTGCAACCTAGAATACCTGTCTCTGTCTAACACCATATATATGCAGTGGAAGAGTTATCTAAACTGCCTTTATAGCCAGTGAGGATGAATGAGCTGCTCCAAATCGTTCAGCCCACTAAGGAGTGAGCTGAATTGCAGCCTTGGTCTCTCAGGAGTCCCTTGGAGCTGCTTCTTTTGTTGCCATTTTAAGAGTAATAGACAGGGAGCCTACTAAAGAACTGTATGGCTGCATGACTTAGTGCTGGTAGAGGGGATCTGCTATCCTAAGAAAATCTGTCTCTCTGGATAATGGTGGCCTTTAATGCTTTAAGCAAAGCCACTTAATTTCATATTGAAAAGGATTAGTCATGTAAACACAATCAGATCCAGTGTGCAAGTTGGGGAAGCTTGGAATATGCTGGTGTGATTGCTGATAGCCCTCTGACCATACCTCATCCAGAAAGCCCTCCTGCTTGGGAGCACAGCCGTGACCAACTTACCTGTGGGAATTCTTTGATCCCTAGTGTGACTGGTCCCTCATAGTAGAGGTATTCTGAAAAGCAAAAATGGTGATGGGTGGTTAGACATGCAACACATGAAGGAAACGAGCAGCTGATCATAATGCTTTTTTGTAATAGCACTTCAAAGTGCTCCAGTGACAAGTGTTATGGAACTGCAAAGTGTTCTATACACAGTCTTGCAACAACCCTCCTGAAAGAAATGTCAGGATGTTTACTGCCTTATGGGGAAAGCAGAGCAAAGCCTGGGCTAAAGGAGGACCTGCAGTCCCTGTCTGAGTGGAGGATGTGGGCATGGCTTTGCACAACTGGGTGGGTGTTCCTATGTCAGCCTGCATCCTGCAAATGGGGAAACGAAAGGGGAGGAGGATTGTCAGACAGAAGTCCTTTAGCATGATCTGTCAAACACCTGCAGCTGCAATAGTTGAACTATACTGTTTTGGTAACTTTAAGAAAAACCAGTCTGAGCTGAGTGTTTCTGTAGGTGTGGACTTCTGACTGCTTGCTGAGCATGACCTTAAAGTAATAAGAACATGTCTGCCTCACTGCTGAGGGACTGTTCACCAAGAAGTTACATGATGTGCTAAAGCCATCACAAGTTGTGTTGGTGACTGGAATAGAGCCCAGGAGTTCCACCTTCCAATCCTCTTCTCCCTAATCGTGAGGCATGCTTGCTTTTTGCTGTTGAAGAAAGGGAAACTTTGGCATTAATAGACAGAATTAGCAAGCTGTTCTGCAGTTCCTCCTACTTTTTCATAGCTTACTGGGCCAAACTGTGCAGACTTGACTGAAAATAAAATTTGTAGATGTTTCAGTATTTCAGAATTTCTTGCACAACTTGCCCTCCACAAGTCGTGGAAAAGTCTAGGAACTGTTTAAGGATTCTCTTTGGAAGGTGTCATGAAATATTCTTTACTTTGACAGTGACAGAGGAGTAAGTGTTTAATCATATTTATGAGTATGTGCTGGCATCTTGATGCTTGTCACTTCAAGAGAGTTGTTTTAGTCCAGTCTCGCTGTGCTGGTTTACACTGTTTCTTGGAAAAGGTTGGACAAAAGGTTTGTAGCATGTTTAAGTCATATGGTCCATCCCACCACACAGTAGGCATCTGACTTGGAAAAGAGTCCACAGAAGGTCTTCCCCACACATGCTATGAAATGTTAGTCAATGCCTTATAACAAACTTATATGAAAGAATCATGACTGTAAGATAAACTAGGAAAAAAATAGGAGAAACCTGAGACGACATCAATGTCCTACAAGTCTGCATTAACGCAGAGTTTGTTAAACATAATGCCCTGATATTCCTGGGAGGTGGAGAAGATGCAGAGCTTCTCAGTGTTGCCCTGAAAAACCTAGTACCAAAACAGAGAACAGAATAAGTATGATTTGGCTTGTCACTCAAACTGATCAACTATGCTGCAGCACTCATACTGTACTCATTCCCTTCTGTGTCCGTGGCTACTTCACCTGGACACCAAGAAGTCTTTTGCTTTTGAAAGAGCAGTCACCATCAATGCTTGCTTCTGTGCATGAAGCAAGAGCCCTGGAGTCTGACACTTCTCTGCCGTGGAGAGCAGTGACTCAAGAATTTTAAAAATACAGTACAGCCCACTTCCCAGTTCACAACTTACTGGAGTCTAAATGGGAGTTAAAGGCACTGCAGACTGCATGACTTGGGTGATGACTCCCTTGGGACCTGAGCAGTGTGTGTTGATGTGTGCTAAGCCATATTGTGAGCTGCCCCTCAGGGTGGTGTGGACCATGCAATGGTGTGGTTTGTGTGTCCTTTTGTTGAGATCCTTGTTTGATTGTCTCTCCTTCAGTCAGCTCTGAGACTAGCAAATCTTGGATGGCAGCAGAGGAGAGTAAAGAGGAAACTGGGCTGTGAGCTATCACCCTTCCCCAAAGTCCTTCTCCACAGAGACATGAAAACTCCTCTTGGATCACATGGCTTGTTAGGGTCTCACCAAGGCTGTTGGAAAGCCATCCAGCATCTAAACATACAGATGCAGCATTCAAGCTCTGCAAAGCCTATATTTTAAAATGCAGTAGGAGTCACCAGGCCATAAATTTGCTTCTGAAATGATGGCAATGCTAATCTCTCCTTTAGTGTAGGTAGAAGCTATTTTTTTCCTACTTTGATGTGACAAAGTAATGACTACATCAGAGCTAGATGAATGCAGTCTTAGGGCTCTGCCTCAGCCCTCTGAGAAGTTTTCCATGATTGCTCTGATTTGTGGCAGCTATGCCTTTGCTTGGTAATCAATGGAGTCACTCTCATGGGCTGTACTATCTTTTAGGGAGCCTCAAACTGTAGAGCTGGGTGCTGTGTGTCCAGTTTGCGGTGTATATTTACTGCTTTGTGCTTCAGCATTGCTGTTACTTAGCTCTTTCTAACCAGGGGTCTTGCAGTGGTTCACAGTTATTAATTGCATAGAGCTACTCAAGAGAGTCCAGGGGAGGGCCACTGAGATGATTAAGGGACTAGAACATCTCTCCAATGAGGAGAGGCTGAGAGAGCTGGGACTGTTCAGCCTAGAGAACAGAAAGATTAGGGGACAGCATATCAGTATGTAGAAATACCTGAAGGGAGGGTGTGAAGAGGGTGGAGTTAGGCTCTTTCCAGTAGTACACATTGACAGGACAAGAGGCAGTGGGCACAAACTGAAACACAGGGGGCTTCTTCTGAACAAAAAAAAATCCCCTTTGGCTCCCCCACAGCAAAGTTTTTTTTTTTTTTTTTTTTTTTACTGTGATAGTGAGCACTGGCAGAGGTTGTACAGAGAGATTGTGGAGTCTCCATCCTTGGATATACTCAAAACCCTCACCTGGACATGGTCCTGGGCAACCAGATGTACGTGGCCCTGCTTGAGTAGGTGGGAGTTGGACTAAATGACCTTCAGAGGTCCCTTCCAACCTCAACTGTTCTGTGGTTCTGTAACCAGGCCTCTAGAAAACTCTTGTGACTTTCCTTGCCTCAACAGTGTGGTGTAAAAAGGATTATGCTGCTTTGAAACTATGTCCTGATAGGAAAGCAAGGGCAGCTTTCACTTTCAGCTAGTTGAGACCTGCCAGGAAATAATATGGATCCATAGATCTCCTGAATTTTATCATTCATATTCACTTCGGACCATAGCAACCTCCTCAGTGCCTATGCTGGCTGGATCAGGCTTTTCAAAGCCCATTCAATGTTCCTCTAGCATGAGGGTTTCTGCTAAAATTCCAGAAGTGTAAACGTCCTCCAGGGCTTTAAGACTGTAGTTTATCACAGCATCCTTCATATAGTCATACATTTTTCTCCAAATATTCATATATTTTTGCATTCCTCCATTGAAAGAGGATGAACGCATCTGTTGCAGTAAGTGTAACTGTCACAAACACTGAGCCTAGCTCATTGAAAGAATTCTGTCGTCTTTTTAGAGCAAACCCAGATGTTGTTGCAAAAATGTACGAACATTGGGAACAGCATAAATCATGAGCGTATTTTTCCAATTAAAAATTTCTGTATGTCTTCATTGGTCTGCTGATAAGTTATGGTATCTGTCAAGCATGCTGTCATCTGTGATGTGCTTTCAGTCCATCTTCCATTTTTCAGCCCTTTTTCTTAAAGACTTAAATGAAGGTGACTTCTGTAGAGCATCCTGGAAAACATTTCTAATGCACTGCTACTACAAGGTGATATTATTGTATTTGATATTGTTGTAGCAGCTTTTCGCTATTGTTTCTACCAAAAGTAACTTAGTTCTTTTCCCAGGCCTCTAGTAGCTTCCAGTATGATGCAGAGCTTTCAAATGTGTAAGAACTTCCTGAGGATTACTTCGAGTTACTAGTTATCATTTATCATGAAGATGCCTCTCATTCCTGACAAAACACCTATAATGAAATTCTCACTCCTCTTTCTCAAACCTTCTTTGCACTGAAAAATCTTTAAGTGTTCTCACACTCTTGTACTATATAAAGGCCCTGTACATCTGCACCCACCTCTTCCTTTTCCTATGTTTTAAATCATTTTAGAACTTAAATGCTCCATGTTGGAGTTCTTCTGGGACGTGATCTTGTACCCATGCAACTAACACACAACTTCTGTGAGTTTTAGCAATGCAGGAATGATCTGAATAACTGCTAGCTATAGATTTATAGCTGAGTGAGAAAAATGTATATAAATATATAGCTGGGTGAGAAACATCCACTCTCTTTACTGGGGAGGAAAAAGTGAGATGAAGGGGCTAAGAAAGGTGGCATTGTATATCAGCCCAAAGACCTAGCTTTGCGGTGTGGCTGCTTCCTTGGAAACATATATCTAAACTCTTAATGTGATAACCAGTTCTGTAATTCATGCTATGTTCTCTACTTTTATTCACAAATACTGTTTTAGGAACTTGTTCACTGTAACACCTACTGGAAGAGGCAATAATGTAAAGGAACAGAGGTCTGAAGCAAGGGGGGTTTTCTCTATGGTTTGGGAGTGTACACAGGGAATCATACAAGTGCTCTGATGGTGCCTTTGTCAGTTGGGGCTGAAAGAAAACTTGTGGACTTGCAGAGGATGCAACTATCTTTTGTCAGGAAGCATCGTTTAAGCCCGCAAGTTGTGGTTGGCACATTGCTAAATACAACCCCGGTAGGTCTTTTTCTCTGATTTTGGTGATTGCATTGGGAAATCTGTTAAATATTATGTAACTATTTTCTTTGGAGGAAATGGGGAATAACCAGCACTTCCTACTAAAAAAGGGGAAGAGCTGAGTTCATGTTATGCCACAAAGAATTTAGCAGTTTCGTTCTAATTGTTCTTAAATGGACAACGTCCCATTTCCTTGCAACCTTTGAGCTAACAACTTCACAACAGGCATATAGTTCAAAGAAAAAGATCTTGGAATACTATTTAGGAGTCCCAGTGTGCCATATGTGACCTTTGCTTAACATAAATAGTAAACACTATATGACTATGATGAATATGAAACCTCCAGCTATAAGGCTCCTAAAGTATTTCCAGTCATGGCAAAACTGCAGTATTATAGGAGAGCAAAATAAAATAAAACAACCCCAAACACCCAAGACTTTGCCACATCCAGCTCTTATAAGTCTCTTTTCCTTGTAACTTCTCATGAGTGAGTGAACCAACGAAGCCTGTATAGAACTATGTTCTGTCTCATTTGGGGAGAGGAGGAACAGGCAATTTTTGGCCTCCTTGTGGAAGGCAAAATTCTGCCTGGAACTATACTTAAACTCAGGTCAGGTCTGGCCAGATGTTGGAAATGTTGCCTGTACAACAGGGAAAAAGGGGCTCTGCATGAAAAGCTTCAGTTGAAAGGGCTATCTGCTCCTCTGTACCTTTGCTAGGCTGCATACTTGGCCACTCACAACGTTGTCCTTTCTGCATAGCTATTAGGTCACATTTACAGCTGTGCTAATATGGTAAATTATGGCTGTGCTGAATTGCCTCAAATTGGTCTTCAGCTCAATTCTGTGTCCTAAAACATGGGTTAGTATCAAATGTCAACTAATTAAGAAATACCACGTTTTCAGTTTGAACCTTAGTCTGAGAAAGTTCACTTCTTTCCCACTGTGACTTCATTACTAAATAAAAACAGCTACTGAACAAGAGGGTGTGTACAAAAAAAGTGTGTGGCAGAGGTCCTTGCACTAACTTAAGGATGCTTCTAAATGAAGATATATAGTATTATTTAAACAACCAACCATGGGTTTATATCATAATGTACTTCAATTAGTAGAAACAATCACCTGTCAGTTTAAGATTAAAGGACTCGGAAACCCCAGGAGGTTTTTGGCTTTGTGACTTAATGTGTGAATAGCAGTTTGTGCTCAGCTAAGGACTGACTCTACTTCCCCTTAATCTATTCTCTAAAGGATGTTATTCAGTACTTCAGAATAAGATAGTTTTTCGGTAGGTCTGTAGGTGGGGTTTTTTTTCCCCTTGTAATTCAGTACACAATTGAAGAAACCTCTGAATTTAATTTTTTTTGTCTATCTGGCTTACAGGATTTACATAATTGGTTGCTCATGCAGAATTTCTCTATTATTTTTTGTGATATTTCTATGCTGTGTGAAATGTCTTAGTAATTTTCTGGGGCTGTCTTAGCAGTAGTACTGTGCATGGTCTTTAAACTCATAGCCCTTGCATGTGAATTATTGCAGTGTTACCAGTACAGGCATGCAAGTGAATGGAAGGAAAGCAGAGCTGAAACTAATTGGTGCTCTAACAACTCTGAAACTTCCCTGCAGCTCTACCTGTTTATTTTAAAATCAGCTTAAAGAGGTGATCATGACCTAAGAAGGATTTCAAAATAACCATTTAAGATACATGGTTATTACAGTCCAGAGGCATGACTATAGCTCTTCTGGACATACCATGGCTAGGTTTGCACTACCTGGCGTGGGTCGTGGCAGAAGGGACCTTGAGCTGCCCAGGCTCACCTGGAACCACAGATGCCTACTTTCTGGGGGCAGCTAATGCCACTGTAAACCAACTAGTGCAAGTCTGCTCCAGCTGGCAATTTGACTGGCGTGAACTGAAATAATCTGACTGCTGCATAGGCACGTGTTGAACAGAAACAAGATGCAAACAGTAGATGGTATCAAATAGTATCTTGGTCCAAATATCCTTATTCAAGCATAATTCCTCTTAAAGTGAGTTAAGAACTGCCTTTAAGGACAGGAAGTGTTACTTGCTTAATAGTGAAGAACGTGTTCAGAACGGCTTGTTTGTTTGCTCAGCCATTTCTTTTACAGAACTGGCCTTTATTTTTGTCAAACTTCTTGCTCACATGACAACTATGTGGCTATAAATAGGGCTTATGAACCTCTCTGCTCTTGGATGAGGTCACATTACCACAGTCATTTTTTTTTTTTTTTTATGGACTTGAAATCCCATGTGCGTGCAATATTCGGCGATGAAAAGAAAAGCAAGCAAACAGGTTAAGGGAAAAAACAGACTCTGAAATTAAAATGTCTCTGTACTACTGTGTTTCTGTCATCTATTAACATGCTGTTGAAGTAAAAAGAACATTACGATGTATTGGTGCATTCAACAGCAGAGTGGGTGCATTCTGCTTGCAGTATTCATAGAATAGAATCATAGAATCATTTAGGTTGGAAAAGACCTTTAAGATCATCCAGTCCAACCATTAACCTAACGTTACTAAGTCCACACTAAACCAATTACGGGTAGCCTAGACTAAACCATGTCCCCAAGTGCCACTTCTACCCGTTTTTTGAACGCTTCCAGGGATGGTGACTCCACCACCTCTCTGGGCAGCCTGTTCCAACGTTTGATTACCCTTTCTGTGAAGAAATTTTTCCTAATATCCAACCTAAACCTCCCCTGGCGCAGCTCGAGCCCATTTCCTCTCGTCCTATCGCTAACTACTTGGGAGAAGAGACTAACACCCACCTCACTACAGCCTCCTTCCAGGTAGTTGTAGAGAGCAATAAGGTCTCCCCTCAGCTTCCTCTTCTCCAGACTAAACCACCCCAGTTCCCTCAGCTGCTCCTCATCAGACCTGTGCTCCAGACCCTTCACCAGCTTTGTTGCCCTTCTCTGAACACGCTCCAGCACCTCAATGTCTTTCTTGTACTGAGGGGCACAAAACTGGACACAGTATTCCAGGTGCAGCCTCACCAGCACCGAGTACAGGGGGACAATCACCTCCCTGCTCCTGCTGGCCACACTATTCCTGGTACAGGCCAGGATGCTGTTGGCCTTCTTGGCCAACTTGGCTATTCAGTAGCCATCAAACACTTAATGTTACTTAAGTTACCTCCTTTCTCCTTTCCACAGAAAATAAGCTTAGAATGACCCGGCTCGCAAAGCGTGTCTGAGTAGGTTAAGACGGTCTTCCCATTTATGATCAGGTCAATCTTGATGTACAGTTCCTTGATGCTGTGTCCTACACACAAAGCAGAAGGAGAGCTCAGAGAAAGTACAAGGGTAATCAGGTTTATTACTTTATTTTTAAAAAGATTCAATTTTTTTCTCCTGCTGTTTAAGCCATTGAATGTTTTCTTTTCACTGAGAACTCTTGATACATAGAAATCCATGCTTTAGGAACAGGTCTTTAAGTATCTTAAGGTGTATATAACAGTGAACATAATAGCATATATCTTCATTGTTAGATAAACTGTGCCCATGACTGTTGTCTCACTCTGAGGCCAACTGGCACAGTAAATCTTGTGTCCATATATCTAAACTTTCTTTCCTACTGTCCCTAGCAGAGGGACCATATCCAATGGACCCCTGGGAGCTGCCTGTGGCCTGTACCTGCTGCTTGGGAAAACGGTAGCTGGCTCGAGCCAAACCTGTGCCAGGGACCAGCACAGCAGCTTGGCAGTGCTGGGAGGTTGCCTGCTTGTGCCTGGCTTGCTAACATAGATACAGCCAGTGAGGCTACTGGATTTAGAGGAAGGTCCTGTACTCCAAGTTGTTGGAAAAGTATTTGCAAATGCCTGTAATGCGATTTTGCAGGCTTGTTTAACTTTGCAGCCACCTGAAAACTGGTGCTCCCCAGGCAAAAGGGCAGCATGTCTCACAGGAGGGAGACCTTTTGCACACAAGGAAGCATTCCCAAGTGCTAAAAGATACTTGGTACACAAACTTATTTTCAGCACCAGGAGCATGCAGCAGTGCTCATGTACTTATGCTCTGGTAGTAGAGGTTCTAGGCGAGCTTGGGACCAACAGGGTTGTAAGAAGGTGGCTTTCATGTGCAAAGATCACAAGTCAAGCTATGGCTAATATTAACTTGTGCACCCAGACCATTAGAGCAAATGCAGTTCTGCTTTTGACCTTTTATTACTGGTAAGTCAAGTGCTGGAGGGTATAACTTCAGCTAGCACAGGTGCTGAGCTGATGGCATGACTGTTGTTTCAGGCTAGCACTCCAGCAATGCTCTGGATCCCCAGCATGCTTCTTTACATGGCAGGGAGGTGGCCCCACCTTACTCTGGAGAGTCCCTTAGTTCAGTCTCCCACCTGCAAGGGTCAGCCTTGGTGATTTGGTAAGCACTGCTGGTGCTGTAGTTGTCTCATTCAACAAGACTCTCCCCAGAAGACTTAGCGGTGAAGACAAGCTCTAGAGCGGCCCCCATGTTGGCTATCCATATGTACAGGTGAAGGGTAAGAGAGGAGTAGGGGTTGAGGGCTGATATGACCTGCTTAGGGTGACATGTGTAGTCTGAGGCAGAGCTGATAACAGAACTGACATTTCTGTAGCCCCACGCAGGTTTTGAAGTTCCTCAGAAATGCAGCCCATTCATATTTTATAGGAGGTTGTCATCCTTGCTTACTTAATATGAGCACTCACATGAATTACCTGTTTATGGCATGAAAAAATAGCAATTCACTTACTTAGGACTATTGCAGCTCTGATGTTAAAGGTGTGGGTGGAGATATCAGAACAACGGTCGATGCTGAAAGCAAAATCTTGCTGTGGATCTGTTTGGAAACAGAATGCAGTGGGTAACAAGTTGTATTTTTAATGAGATACTTACTGTATAGAAGAAAAGAATAAAATGTAGAAGTGTTGTAAAAAAGAGATTACATATTCCTTAGAAATTCTCCAGGATGTGCTCAAAGCTCCCATAGCCCATGTTTAATAGCTACTTCTGTCCTTCCTGCCACTTAAATCTGAAGCACATTCAGATGATAGCCTATATGTGGCCTAAAGCGTACTGTGTGGGAAAATGAGCCAAGTTCAGGGAAAGCAAGTTCCCCACAGTGGTGGGTAGTCGATACCCATTCAACAGGGAAGTCTTAACACAGCTGCTCTTCCCAGGTTCTGCACATCACTATTCCTTCCTCAGCACTGATGAGTAATTGGTTATGATGATGTTTTTTAATTCATTTGTATCACAGGATGGCTTGGCAAGACTGTCTGGGAAACTGAATCCTGAAGTGGGATGAAAAGTTGAAAAATGAAAATAAAATTGTGTAACTGAGATCCTGCAGTATTCCATGCTGGGCCCACTATTATGATTGTGGGATATTTCTAACCCAGGAAATATTCTACACGTCTCCCTTTCTGGGAGACTTTAGCAGAGCTGAGGTTGAAGGGAGCCCTTCAGCTGATGACTGACGTGAACATGGCTCTTACCAGTTCCTGCAGTATCCCTTTCTCTGCATCAAGCTCCAAAACTCTTGTACAAACATAACTGCAATCCCCCACTTCCACCTTCTTCCTTGCTAGCCTCCATGAGATGCCTGAAGGCTTGCCAATGTGTCACACTGGTGACAGCTGGCAGCAACAACTGACAGTTCAGCTGCTGCAACCAACAGCGTGCAAGTGTTTTCCAGAGCTGTGGCTGGAGGTGAAAGATTTGGCCAGTTTGGCAGCATATCATGTTGAGTGTCAAGGCTTGCTTTAGGCATAGGTTTATTCTTTGTGGTGGGTTTCCAGCCAGCCTGTGCATCTAATGTCCTTCTCTGTGGAAACCAGAGAGATGACTGTGGCACGTGCAGAAGCAGCTGTAGGCTCCCCAGTTTACATAGAGCTGCTGGTGACAAATTTGGGAATTGAATTCTGTTTCTAAGTTATTGTTGCTTGAGGTAATCCTCTCACTGAATTGAAAATAATGGGTTGGAAGAATTTTCCTTTGATGCTGTGGTGAAACTTGAGTCATCTGTGTCCTCTGTGAGGCTGAGCTAGCATCTCTGTAGTCTGACCCTATTTTTCTAGCAGTGCCCCACAGCTGTAGCAGCTGGTGGGAAGCAAGCTTGGGTGACCAAAGCTTGATTGCTTAGAGGGGAGCATGAAATGAAGGAAAGTGCTGGGAGGAGCTGGGGGCTCTAACTAAGCTAGGCTCTGCAAGAACATGGATTGTCAGTGTGGTCCAAAAGGAGCTCCCGAGTCCTAGGTTCTGGTAAATGAAAATAACTGTTTAAAGGAGGGAGGTAAAAGTCACTGGTATTTCCCACAGCTCTGTGTCCCTGTGCTGGATTTTGTCCTCCACACCACTAAAGCAGTATCTGCAGTTGCATGATCTACTTGAGACAAAAAATTGCTGCCTGGAGTTGTTTATCGGCTCAAGTGTGACAAGAGTCAGAGGGTTGTCTTTCCTCCCTTTGCATATTCCTGTCAGTTCTCACTTTGTTATTGCAGCTTCAGAAGCTGTTGCAGTTGGGTAGGAGAACAGTTTCCTGCTCCAGCCGGAAAACGTGTCAAGCTTGTCTCTTCTCCAGGACCGTTACGCCTGCTTCCCCTCTGGTCTCTACCACCTCTCAGGGCTTGGTTTCCGCTTTCCTCTGGACTTCTGCAAGAGCCCTTCTCATTTCTGTTTTGTGTGTGGTGCGATGATAAACTTCAGGAAGCAGCTGCTCAGATTTAGAGCAACCTGGGCATTGATGCCTACAAACAGTGCTGAATGTTAGGTGACTAAAATTGTTTGCTCTGTAATTTCCAGAGGGAGCTATGGTCAAAAATGGCACTCCAACATTTATGATGCTCTTCTCTTTCAAAGAGATTAGTCTGTCTTTAGTCAACAAATTAAATTGTGGTGTTAGGGCTAGAAGTTGAACTTTTAGTTCAAAATTTATCATCAGTAACTGTTTTGATGGAAAGGGGATGTTTGTGAAACCTAGCTTCTCTGGAAAGCATACGTTTCTTACAACAAACCTGACCTCAGGGCTGTTTTAGTTTGGATGTCTCGTGCCTTTTTGTTTTTTTCCTATGGGGTGAGCTCTTCTGCTAAATGACATATTTCATGGTGCATTGTAGCCATTGGTGTCTTTTACTGCACCACTAGTGATGCAGCATAGGACTCTGACATATCCAGAGAAGTGTTGTGTGGTCCACAGAGAGCAAGAGAATGTGGAAGCACTCACATGCGAAATTCCAGAAAAATTTGTGAATTAGAGCACATGGATTTTGTGTTGTTACTCTGTTGCTGAGAAATGTAAACTTTTCCACTGGCAAAAGAAATCCCAATTAATTTTCTGACCATCTCCCTGTGGGAAATTCAGGCTATGACTTTGCAGTCCAACCTCTTATGTAG